GTGTGTGTGTGTGTGTGTGTGTGTGTGTGTGTGTGTGTGCGTGTGTGTGTGTGTGTGTTTCCTCGACGATGTTTTGGCGCAGATTCCTTGAAAAATTCTGCGCATTCTTTTCTTCGACAACCCTCATGTTTCCTAATCCAGCCACGATCCTCCTCCTCCTCCTGCTCCTCCTCCTCCCCCTCCTCTGCTTCCAGATCCCATGCTGACACAGGACCTGCAGGGGGAAATTCCCACACGGGACGATCTCTTTTCTTCAGAGTTTAGTCCGGCCTTCTTTCAGCTGGTTACCGTCAAAGGGCCGTGCCTTTTCCGTAAACTCCTTGTTGCATCAGTCCCTCCAAACTGGTCTGCTGCCTGAAAAACTCCGACAGAGCAACGCAATGCAAACACACACGGACACACAAACACACTCCACCTGCCATCTCATTGTCCGCTGATTGTGAAATAGGAGAAATTCTTTCCACCATATGAGTCATCCAATTGTTAGAAGTTCTTCCTCAAAATATATAGTTCTGATGCTTTAGGAACATCGTGTTCAACTTGTGAACTGTTTCACAAACATTTTACAACATAAAATCATAAAAAATAGAGGCCGGCTGATGTGACATCTGAATGTTTTTTTTGTTTGTTTGTTTGTTTGTTTTAAGGCTGACCAAACAAAACTAAATGTAACCTGAGGAGGAAAAAAATCATGCCTCAAATCAATGATGACAGTAATGTGTACACTTTAAGGGTGGTGTTTGTTTAACAGACGAGTCTGGGACATCATGATCAAACTAATCTGGGGAACATTTTTCAAGCAAAACCTGGACCCATTTCAAATCAGTAAATAAAGCTTGTTTTTCTCATTTTTTAATTGGTTTTTGCTTGGTTAAACATGCTTTGTAATTGTTTTATTTTTGTGTTTTTAGATGCTTGATTATATATATTTATTATTGATTTTCTCTGCACACTGCTAAAGTTGTTTTTCAGTGCGCTATAGATAAACTTGAACTTGTTTATTTTTCAGTTCATAATAATAATAATAATA